GGTCGGATAGCAGGATTAAACAAATTACAAGCAACAATGAGAAACCAAGCAAAACGTCATTAGATATAAAAAAAAATAAATAAAAAACACAAACTACAAACATTTAGGTACTGCACAATGCCCTACATAATACTATTCACAGAAACATACAGTATTAAATCATAGGTTTGATAAAAAGTTAAGTGTTAATATAACTGGCATAGCAACTGCAATTAATAGTGACCACCTCCTGTATTCTATGTTTAAAATCAATCTGTATTTGTATTTGCCTACATCTCATTATAGTCGAATCGAGAATCAAATCAGGAATCGAGAATCGAAATCGAAAATCGAAATCAAATCGAACTGAGAGCTTGCGAATCGAAATCGAACATCTGAATCGATATACCCAGCACTAGTTGCGAGTTCGATTCTCAATACCGGTAGGAAATGACATAGGTGCCCTTATGAAAGGCACCTAACCCCAAAAACAGCAAAATGTGACATTGTTATAATGGGTTCACGTGAAGAATGTTTTAAGTTCACTTAATTAAATTAAATGTTAATATTTTTTAAAAGCCTATTAAATGTTAAAAATGATATCGAATGGCTATAATCACGAGTAATTTATGAGAAAAAAATCTTGATCTATAATGATTAATTATTGAAAAATGTGTGAATAATAATTTTTTTTGTTGTTTTTTTTGAGAGCACAAATGTTTTGTGATTTGTGAAATGTGGCCTCTGAACTTGAGTACCCCTGGTGTAAACAGAACAAAGTAGACGTGAATATTTCGGAAAGCATTCGAGGGCCGTTTAGGGGTCTACCGCAGCATTATCTCGGGATATAACGTGCCCCGGCGCTTTAAAAGCCAGGGTCAAAGGCACAACAGCTCTTCACCGGTGAGTGTGTATAGCTCGGCTCACGCGTCTCAGGGCAAGCATGCCTGTTAGCATCTCTTTAGCTTCACCTTTAGAAGAGTACTTCAGATTGCCGCACAACAAGTCCACTTCAATCTTGACTCTTCAACTCTGCATTAACCTTCGCATGGAATCCAGCGACAGAGCCCCGCTAGCATTACAAAGCTTCAAACCCGAGACTGCAGCCCTCCAAGGCGCTGGCCTCATGCAACTCCCAGGGCAGCACTTGTCTCAGAATTGGGAGGCTGCTCCCACCCAGGCCCTGAAAGTGACACATGCGTGGTTGTCACCAGTGTGTCACCTCCTGCGCACTGAAGTATGAGGCAATTTCCTGCGAGCAGCGTGTAGCTGAGGAGAGGGAGCGGCCGCACCCCTGCTCCTGTGTTCTCTTTGATACTGTCAGGGAAGAGTAATGGCTTTCTGTTGCTGCAGCTACTACCGAACTAATGTTGTGTGACTTTGGCTCTCCTTTGCAATGCGTTTCCGCTACAGTGAGGGCTAGAATGATGGGTAGGAAAGAGGAGAAGAGCAAAGTAGGGAGATAGAAGGCAAGGGTAAGGATCCTGACAGCCCCTGGGGTAGATGGGAAATACCCAAAGAGTGGGCAGAAAGAGCAAGTGGTTTGACACAGATAACCTTCTCCTTCTACTTACCTTGCCCATCGGCACCACGGGAATAAAACTGCGTCCTTTACAAACCGCCACAGTTTCTCTATATAGAAATGGTTCACTCAAAATGTAAAATTATTTCTATAAAGTCTGTATTTGTCATTAATAAAGCACCAGAGAAGTAGCCTACACAAATCGAGAGCTACAGTATATTCCAAGCTTTCATTTGACGTGATTGGTTTGTGTGACAAAACTACTCATGTTTAAGCTCTAATTAGGATCAATGGTGTGACATTTTTTTGTCCAGATCTATTAATTTGTCTGCAATATATTTAAAATTAAAATTTATTCAAGAGTTCAGATGCAAAAGCCTCTAGGTGCCATTTGAAATTTTCTTCTACAATGATAATTTTTATCAAGCTTATATATTTAAATTCAGTAATTTCACTTAAATGATTGCCATTTAAGTGGCAAGAAGAAATTTAAGTTTCTAGAAGAAAATTTCAAAGGGCACCTAGAGGCTTTTGCAACTCTTCAAACATACTTCCAAAAAATACATGTTTTTCATATAAAAAAGAAGAAAAAAAGAAAATTTCAGGATAAATAATTAATAAAAAAAAAATTTAAAAAATGATTTTATGAAATAAAACAGCGAACATAATTTTTATTTAATATTTTATATTTTATTTAAATATTTTATTTATTTATTTATTTAATATTATGGCATAATATTTTATTTATTTATTTATTTTTGTAAATACCATTTTAGTACAATTTCTTATTAAAGGGATAGTTCACTTTGAAATTAATTTTTGATATGCTTTAGCTTACCTCAAGGGCATCCAAGATGTAGGTGTCTTTCAATTTTGATATTTTTAGGTCAAACTGTTCTTGTCTGTCAGTCAAATAATACAGGTCTATGGTCACCACCTCAAAAAGCATGCACAGAGAAGTCCAAATTAAACATGATTTAATGATGTTTGGCCATCAATGTGTACTTACATTTACGAGTCATTAAATCATGTTTAATTTGGACTTCTCTGTGCATGCTCTTTGAGGTGGTGACCATAGACGTCCATTATATGACCTACAGACAAGAACGGTTTGACCTAAAAATATCAAAATTGAAACTACTGAAGTAAGCTAAATCATACCAAAAATTAATGAACTAAGTGAACTATCCCATTACTATTTGAAAAACTAATGTCAACCAAATCATAAAAGCATAAAACAGGAACTTATATCAGAGACAGATATTCGACTTAAAATATCTGATAATTTGATTTTCTTAGGCAATGTTACAGTAGTGTGACTTCACATTCATGATATTTGTAAATATACTTTTCTTTTTTACATAGAAAAATATATTTTAAAAAGACTCACGTATTCATGTAAGGGAAATATGTTACTACTTTGTATGTGATGGTTACTCCAGATTAAATCAAAACTTTTCTTAAAAATGGTATAAAAGTTTTTGTTTTTTTTTAAACCACAAACAGAATCCAAAAAGAACAATTCCAAGAACTTGGAACATGTTTTAAATGACATTTTTCTTGATCAGAGACACTTTCATTTGTCACTGACTTGTGTGCCACCTGACATTTCACCTCTGCCAAACAAATCCAGAAACCACTCTATTCCAAAATGAACAGAAATAGACACTCTCAAGCTTTTAAAAACAGCCAAATCAATCATCTACACTCTCTCAAACCACCTTAAGACCCTTGATATTTGATTTTACTTCAGGGTCACAAACCTCAGACGGAAAAAAAAAGAATTTCGTCACCTGATAACGTGAAACAATGTGCATAATTACATCCTGAATAAATGTATCCAACCATGAATGAAAAAAAAAACCTAGTTCTCCAAGAACAATTTTCATGTTAGACAAAAACAAAATGAACTTCGTCATCTATTCGCTCCACATCTGACCTCTTTCCCATTTCTCTGTCATGGATTTAATTGCCATCTAATCCTATCCAGAAATTATAAGATAATTATACCAAATTAGTGCCTGATTAAAATTGCACAGTATTACAATTCATTAGAGTTATCTGACTCCCAGTGTATCTGGGCTTTCAGCCAGATGCGTGAAGATGTCAGTGGATGGAAGAGGGACAGTGGGTCCATTCAGCTCCTGATTCATCAGAACACACACTCTCACTGCTCCTCCAATCACTCAATAGGTTTGGGGGGTTTCATATATGTGCTCTTAAAAACCAAGACAAATGAACTTCTCTGGGGCGTCACATATAAAACTTGAGTGCGTAAACACAATATCCAAACAGAAGTGTTTAAGAATCTGTTTAAAAGCGCTCAAAATGCTAGAGGGTAATGCTGGTCACATTTTCAAAATTGCGGAGATATGGAGATATTTTCTTTTAAAGAAATTGCTTTTTAAGGACTACAACAAACGGCAGGTAGGGACTATACGACATTCCTCCTGGGTTAGTGACATCACAAACCCTACAATTTGCAATTTGCATAAACCCCGCCCCCCGGAACGCGATTTACAGATAAAAATGACAGAATATGCTAATCCATGATGACTAGAAGATAACTAAGCTATAAATTCATCAACTAACAACTAACCATTCAGAAATGTTCTGTTTCTTCTTGAGTCTCTCCATCATTGTCTGACTACGGTTTGAACATAAAAGGCAAAATTTTCAGTGTGTGTCTGTGTGAGGTAAAAGGACACAAGCTGTTGAGGCTCCGCCCTCTGTGCCAGGAGCAGCAGCTCGTTTGCATTTAAAGGGACAGACACAAAAAGGTGCGTTTTTTGCTCACCCTCAAAAAGTGACAATTTTAACATGCTATATAAAAATATATGTGGGGTATTTTGAGTGGAAACTTCACATACACACTCTGGGGACATCAGAGTGAGATCTTGTGAAAAGGGCATTATACCACTTCTTTTAAAAAAAAAGAATACTTTCATTCCGCAATGTTGCATTAAATGTAACAAAAGTGACACTAAGACTTTTACATTGTAAAAAATATATAGTTTAGTTCATAAATGCTGTTCATTAAAGAATACAGAAAAAATATATCAAAAACATTTTCTACTTAATGATCTTATTTGGAATGTGGGAGAGTTGCCCGCAATATACATATGCCCTCATTTTTTTCATTTCCATTCATTGTGATGGAATGCAATCTTCATTTCTATCCATCAAAGAATCATGGAAAGAATATTAAGTAGCATTGTTTTTCAACACCGATAATAAGAAATGTTTCTCGAGCACATATTCGAATGATTTCTGAAGGATCATGTGAAAAGATACCAGATACATAAATTTTTTTTTATGAAAATAGACTGATAATGTTTATATATTTTTACTGTTTTTTTTTTATAAATGGTGAGTATTACCAATTCCAAACTTTTGAGTGGTACAGTTGGAAAGGCACATTTCTCATGGAGTATATGGGATTAAAATAGGAGAAATTCAAGTCCAGCTAGGCCTGAAAAGTCTGTAGTGTGTCTTCTACCTGCTCTTGAAGCTCTTTGACTGTGGTCTCCAGCTGAAGCTGCTGGAGCTCATGCTGTTCTTTCAGAGACATCTCTAGGTGTAGCTCAGTGATGACATCCTGCAGTTCCAGGATCAGAGCCTCTCGCTCCTCCACCTACAACACATGATCGCTGCCATGTCAATAGACTGTTGTCCATGATAGTTGTGTGTTGAGTTGTGGATGGTTATTAGTGATGGTATTAAATATTAAGAATGTCAAAACAAACACCTGGCCACTGTAAGATGTGTTTCAATGTAGTGACATGTTCAGCCTAACAAGCATGAATACATAAGTACGAGAGAGTCACCAACAAATGTCCAAACAATGTCCATCTCATGCCATCTTGCTAGTGCAGGTGATCAGATTTTGTGTTCACAGTGGCAGATGTCATAAAACTACTCACCACAATAACAATGTTAAGTCATTTTTTGTATTTTTTGTTTTTTTGTTTAGCTTATTTATTTATTTTACAGTTTACAACTGCAAAAAAAAAAAAACAAAAAACAGGAAAATCATGGACAGACCAGATTTGAACCTGCATGAGCTTTATGTTTTGTCAACGTGCACTGCATACTGTGCCTCAGACAAGCCTAAGGGGAAAAAAAAGCACAAAATAATGTGATTAAGAAAGAAATTAAAAACCAATTAAATATTTTACATATCTGCTACAATAATGTACAGTACGAATTAATCATTTGGGGCCTTTTCTCATTACTGATATAATTAAAGTTTGTAATTATTAACCCTTAATTATAGTGTCTGTCAAAAGTTTGGAATAATTACAATTTTTTATGCATTTGAAAGAAGTCTCTTATTACTGTATTTGATCAGAAAAACAGGGAAAAAATATATATATTGTGAAATATGATTACACTTTAAAAGAACTGTTTTTTATTTCAATATATTGTACAATGTAATTTACTTATGTGGTGGCAAAGCATCATTTTCAGCATCATTACTCATATAAGCTGCATCTGAAATCACATACTATATTTGAATTCATCCGCCATGTTGTTACTGTCACGTGACCTTGCATCATCAGTCCACTGTTTACCCAATACTACGTATTTGAACATACTAATCTTTTGGCGTACTGATTTTCCACATACTCAATTTTGGATGCAGTAATGACCTTCCCGAAATCTTTCTAATATGCTGATTTGGTGCTCGGTTGTTATCAATTGTTATTATTAATGTTGAAAACAGGTTTTGCTGCTTAATATTTATGTGGAAACATGATCATTCTTTTCAGGATAGAAAGAATGAATAGAATGAGATTAAAAGAACACAATTTATTTGAAATAGAAATATTTTGTGTCATTATAAATGTCTTTACTGTCACTTTTGATCAATTTAATGCAACTTTTTTTTTTGTAACCCCAAACTTTTTAATAGCAGTGTATCATGGTTTCCATAAAAATGTCAATGTCTTGATAATAATAAGACATCTTTCTTGAGCAGCAAAACAGCACATTAGAATAATTTCTGAAGGATCACGTGACACTGAAGAGTGGATAGTTCACTTTGAAATACATTTTTGATATGTTTTAGCTTACCTCAAGGGCATCCAAGATGTAGGTGTCTTTGTTTCTGCAGTAGTTGCAATTTTGATATGTTTAGGTCAAACCGTTCTTGTCTGTCAGTCATATAATGGAGGTCTATGGTCACCACCTCAAAGAGCATGCACAGAGAAGTCCAAATTGAATATGATTTAATGTAAGTACATATTGGTGGCCTAAGACACGAAACGAGCAGTTTGTGTGAGAAAACGAACAGTATTTATATCGTTTTTACCTCTTGTAAACCACAGCCACGTCCAAGTGATCTGAGGGCGCGGGCGCTTTGTGGCTGTGGTAATGAGGTAAAAACGATATAAATACTGTTTTCTCACACAAACCGCTCGTTTCGTGTCTTAGGCCATCAATGTGTACTTACATTTACGAGTCATTAAATCATGTTTAATTTGGACTTCTCTGTGCATGCTCTTTGAGGTGGTGACCATAGACCTCCATTATATGACTGATAAGACACAAAAGGTTTGACCGAAAAATGTCAAAATTGAAACTACTGCGGAAACAAAGACACTTACATCTTGGATGCCCTTGAGGGTAAGCTAAAACATACCAAAAAAATTTCAAAGTGAACTATCCTTTTAAATAAAAAAAATAAATATATTCAGATGGAAAACTCTTATTTTAAATCGTAATAATATTTCACAATAGAGTAGTTCAGCGATGACGTCAGAAGCCGGAAGACGTCGCTTGCTGGGTTTTTTAAATTTATGAATAAAATAAAGCTGTGGTAAACATACATTTTAAATACTTTAACATTTTGTTCTACAAAGTAAACTGCACACACTCATACTGAAAAAGCTCATTTTGAAGCAGTTATGTCATTTTGAAAACGTTTGGTATAGTGTACAGGACAGAGGTTGTCCAACGGAAGAATAAATATAAAAACCCAGTTCATCCTTCCGACTCTCAAAACTATGTCAACAAGAGACATCAACATAAGGCTCCACACACTGTATGAAGTGTATGTATCAATATGTGAGATACTGCAGAATTCTGTGACATTTTACATATCAATCGTGTGGAACAGCTTGGCAGAAAGAGTGTCTCATGGTGGTGCTTGTAAGTGAACCCCAGGGATTGTATGAATCCATTTTCTACTGCTAAATTGGCCTATGCAGTTGTGGTTTACAATATGGGATACAGTGAGAGGTGCAAAAGAAGTGAGATGACATAGGATTTGTCTTGGAAGCAACACTCTCACTGTGAACTGTAAAAAAATAAATCAAAAGGTCAAAGTCTGAATGAGTGTATGCACTGAAGAGGTCGATCTCATATCACAGAGAGCATAAGTGGGCACATCGACGAGGAAAATCCTAGATAACACACATAAAGATGTTTTAATGAATCTATAAATTAGAATTGTGATACAGAAGGGTTAGGAAATCAATTTCAAAAAAGATTGAACATCTGATGTTGCTATTGCTAAGCGAGCGAACTCAGATGTTCTATCAATAAACATATGGGCTGTTATGCAAAACTGTTAAATGATCTAATCGAGATTTAACTGTGTTTAGACTGATGTATGAAGTACACAGCAGATTGTGATCCATGACTTATTAAGAAGTGAAGGTTACAGAAATGAACCGATTCACAGTAGCTTACACTGTAAAAATGAATATTCTTTTTTCTAATCAATAGAATTGTGGCAACAGATTACAAGCAATATTATTAATTCAATTTAATAAATAAGAATTGAGTAATTTTTAATTAAATTATTCCTTAATAACTTTACACCAAAAAAATTAACAAAAATATCTCACTGACAGACAAGTCAGTCAAAGATTAATTAAGAACTCTTTATTTTATATTGCCAACATATTGTTAACAAGCAGAATCACTGAATTGAATTTTAAAACAAACCTAAAACAAACACTGATCACCATAATGGTGACTTCAATTTATGTTTTTTTTTTTTTTTTTTTGGTTGCTGTTGTAAGTTTTACTCATTTTAAATGGTTAACTTTTAAGTAATTAATTTGATTCATTATTACTCAATTCTAATTTGTTAAATTTACTTAATAATATTGCTTGTAATCTGTTGCCTTACAGTGTATGGCACAATGCTTCAAAATTATGATTTATCATTGTACTTACATTTTTTCAGTTGGTTTTTGTATGGACCATGTGGGCCAAAAACACTAAGATATTATTCAAAATGTCTTTTTTTGTGTGTGTGTGTTTCACAGATGAAAGTAAGTCATACAGCTTTGGACGGGCTGTTGAATTATTAAAAAAAATAATGGGCTCAGCAAAGACCGGGCCTCGGGTGCTTTGATCACAGGAGCCCCTTATACTATTGGGGCCACTTTTCACACAATTTTTCCCCTTTGACTGCATAATCAAGGAGAACGTCTATTTTCTTTCTCAACTGCAGCACTGTACACTTTTCTTTGTTTCTTGTACTATGGGCACTGGGGTCTGGGACTCTAAGGTCCATTTAATAGGGTTATTATGCACTCTTCATTATTTCTGAGCTAACGCTAAGACCATCCATCTTTGAACCACAGGTCTTAGCTGGTGCCCAGCACCTCTGCATTAGCAGATCCTTTGATCCTTCAATTCTTTGAAAAGACAAACCTGGTAGGACTCCTAAGTGAACCACTCCAGACTGTAAAATACACCCAACAGCATTCAAATATTCTAGATGATCCACTGTATTCTACCAAAAAAAGGAGAATAGTCAAGTGTATGCAACTTAATTAACCACAACAAGCCATAAACACACAACTTCAATAGCATATTGAGGAAAAGGATTAAAAGGAGCCAAACATCCGTATCTTGAGGAAATCAGGCCTTTCAGAATAAATGGCAGTGTTTCATCTAGTATTTTTTTTTTTGTAAAAGGTCCTTTGTTATCTCCAGACACCCAGAAAAGCCTCCTACTGACTCTGTAGCTTTTGAGGTTCAGATCTCGGCATTAGCATGCTAATTGCAACTTTGTCTGCGGAGCAGAAAAGAAAAGAAAAAAAGAAATGGAGGGAAAGAGAAAAAAAGAAAAGAAGAGGAGCTCTTTGTCCGGCTATGGCCATGGGATTTCTTTTTAATCGGCTGTTACAAATAGCCTTTTTTTTTGTACGGAATTACATTATGTTCTATTTATCTCGCCTCCTACAAGGAGAGAGTATGGACAAATCACGATAAATAAAAGTTAACAACATGATACACCAAAAGTGAGCTATACCATGAAATTTTAAAGTGATTTTATTCATTTAACTGATTTTCTAGAAAAAATGAGTAGCAGTGAGCATATTTTCAAAAATGAGTTATTGTTATTGTCAATAGAGTCAGCAAAGTCAATTTTAAGAAAAGTAGGATCCAAAACAAAATCACCTTAAAATCCTTCAAAATAACACTTAAATAAATAATAAAATCCCTGGTTATAACACCAAATTTGGCACACACCTGACCAAGTCAAAACCAAATATCTATATGAAATATCTATTTTTTTCCCCAATGATACCACAATTGTTTGATTAACATGAATGACACGGAGACAGATATTTTGAAATACTGTAATTCTGTGCATAGATCAAGTAAAAG